TTTTGGGTGGCCAGAGGTTTGAGTGAGACCATAAACAGTCTACTCAAAATTTGCTCTACAAATCGGCATGCCTCAGTGCTATTCAACCATTTTGTAACCAATTAGGTTAATAAAAATGGCACTTGTTCAAACATTTTTTTTTGGAAAATGAGGACATAACAATCAGAACAATATAGTTTTGTCCAGACGCAAAAAAGCGTTTTTATTGAAAGCAGTGATGTGTGCAGATTTTTTTTGGCGCCGTTTTTTTAGGTCGCCCAATTTGATAAGAAAACTATAAGGACTCAAACTAAAAACTAAAAATTTTTCAATGCGTCGCAGAATAAACGTTTTTCAAAAAATAGGCCGAAAAAAAAACTTTTTAGGTCAAGTTTTTTCCCCTAAAATATCGTGATATAGGCGCCAAAATTGACGCATAACTGAAACCACCTAGACTTGAGAAAAGAAAGGGCTCAAATTTTCAAACTGATACTTCGACAGATGAATATATTTCGAAGATATTGAACAATTGGTTTGCTGAATTGCGAATTTTTTTCTGGGCAATTGTTTTTTCTGAAAGGCAAGCTTCAATTGTGTCATTTCAGAACTTGGCTTATAGTAACTCAATTTGATTAGTTCATATTAATAATAATAAAATAAAGTCAGATTTCAGAAAAAAAAAATTTCCCACTTCTTTCCTGGTAAAAAAAAATTGATTTCGGATGTGGCCAAAACTGCAATCGTTCTGATTGTTTTTTTGTCAGTTTACAATGGAAAATTTACATTGGTTGTGAGTAAATCTAAAAAGAACAATTACATTGGCTGTGATAAGGTCAGCAATTGAGTTCACCAGAGTTCTGAAACTTCCGAACGTTTGCTGAGAGTGAGGCATGTGTCATCGTATAAATTGAAAAAATGATTTGCCAGTGCTTTGCGCTTTTTTTCGTTCAAAAAACGCTGATTCCACTTTGGTTTTCAAATACGAAGGAAACTGAGAATGAAATTTAGCGCATGCCCTAATCAAAAAATGTTGATATTATTACACAAAATGAGGCCTGGAATCCGCAACATTGCTAGTTTTTTCTAATCTTTTGTGCTGTTTGGATTCCACAAACAAATAACTAAAACCTTGTACCGTTCAAAATTGCCCCAAAAATAGGCGAATTTGAGAAATCCGCAACCGTATTTGTGGAAACCAGAACAGTTTGTGGAATCCACATACAAATAATGAGACATTTGTATAGCTGAATTAAGTTGTTGCGAAATCCACATTGTACACGGAATCCGCAAACTGTAAGTGGAATCCGCGAATTGTAAGTGAAATCCGCAAACTGTAAGTCGAATCTGCATTTTGTTTGCGGATTCCGTTTACTTACATGTATGTGTAGTAGCGTTTAAGACTATATCTTTTAATTACTACGTTAATCAACTACCAGTTGGAATGCCAAGCATTTGATCTGAACCCCTGTCAAACACCCAACTTCGATCTCAAATCCTGTCGAACATACCTAACTTCGATCTCAGTTCCTGACAAACATACGCAATTTCGATCTCATTTTAATTCTTGTCAAAAATACCCAGCCCAGCTTCAATTCCACTTCCTACAAAGGTTAACTTCGATCTCAATTCGTGTCGTCAATCTCAATTTCTGTAACCTTTTTCATCAGTTCATTTCAAATCGTTCAGTTAAAATAAAAAAGTTTCATTTTAGCCGTTTTGAAATATTTTCAAACTGCAAAACCAGAACATAGTTTGATAGGCCAACATTTTCAAGACTATATATTTGTGTTTTTGAACTTAAAAGTCAATTCTGCTGTAATTCCATTTTGGTAATTTTTATCAAATACTAATTTGCTCAAATTAGTTAAATAGATCATTTAATCCCTGTGAACAAAATGCTTTGAATTCACGCTCCCAAATACTGAATCTCATTTACTGAACTCCAAATACTGACCTAAAACGGCGATATGTCAACCCAATAATGAAACAACCCAATTACCGAATTAACCCAATAAAGTAATTTGGTGTTGTATTTCCAAAACTATGACCCCAAAAAACTGCTTGCAAGTACTAAAATGTGACATCCATTGATTTAGATAACCAATGTTCTAAGATTTGTTCGTGGGTTTAGCTGACAATGGTTAAGTCCTTGTTTTTCAATTCCGCATGTGCATATGCAAGTTCAGTAATAAACAAATTTCTGGACTCCTTTACAGTTTGCTGATTCCGCTTACAATTTTTGCGGATTCCACTTACATTTGTGTATTCCACTTACATTTTGCGGAATCCACTTACAGTTGCGGAATCTGGAACGACTAGCTATGTTTGCTTGTTGCGGAATCTGCAACAAATTAAATGAGCCGACAAAATTTATGTTACAAGTATATGTACGCGGAATCCACGTAAATCTTGTAAGTGGAATCCATTGACATTTTGGAACATGTTTAAATACTCCGGAATCCAGGAACATACAGACGCAAAATTGTGAGCCTATCCAGTGCACAGTTTGGCCTCGTAATGACTAGCAGATAAGATAGACACAATATTTCACTGAGCAGTGAAATTTCCTGCTACCAACAACTCGCTGCCAAGTTGCTGCCGATAATGGTCGGACCATGAACTTTAATAACCGAGAACTTTTCATCTATGAACTTACAACAGCCAGTCTATCAATCACAGGCTATCAATAAAACAAACCCTAACTTCTTCCCCAATTAGTAAGTTTTATCGCTCTTAGACTTTTCATAGGATACATTTTACATTTTAGAAAACTTGCCCAATCAACTATCAGTGGGGTATTTCAGAAAAATGGTTTACCCAGGGGCGGATCCAAAATTTTTTGAGGGCGGGAATAACTTTATGTCGTAAAATAGTACCCAGAGAGATTTTGGGTAGCCAGGGGTTTAACTGAGGCCATGAACAGTCTATTCTACGTTGAAACCAATTAAGCGAATAAAAAGAGCATTTGCTTAAATGTCTCCACTGTAAAGTGAGTAAAAAAACAACGAGGACACTGTAGTTTTGTCCAGACCCCACCCCTGCCCCCCTCGGCACGCTACTGACTGAAGGTAATAGTTAACATATTTCAACTTATTTAAAATGTCTGATACAATCTCGAGTGTTCAAATTTTCAAACTGTTGCTTTGACAAAAGAAGTTAATTCCAAATATATTGAAAATTCGGTTTGCCGAATTGCGCATTTATTTTCTTCAACCAAAACAAACCTTTTGGCAATTGTTTTTTCTGAAAGGCAAGCTTCAATTGTGGCATTTCAGAATTTGGCTTATAGTAACTCAATTTGTTTATATCAATTTAGTAATTATATAACAAATTCTTTCTATAAAAACTTCAGCTAGCCAAACGGTTGCTTCTCCAAACCGAAAATTTTTCATTGTTCGGGTAAGTTTAAGCCGCACAACAAAAAACTGATCTATAAAATAGATTTTCGTTAGCTGAAAGAAACCAAATCGGAACCAATTAAGTGTTCTGCCATTTGTCATCCTTCCTCTTTATTGGAACAGGATCAGGATAAACTGGATCCACCATATTTTACCGCTTTGGACAATAAACAGATAGTAAACGTACGCGTACGTAATCTTTTTTTTAAATATTACAAGAGAAAAAAGCCACCCCGATCACAAATTTTCCGTCACTTCGAATGCTCAGCAATTCAAATTATCATACAGAAAAAATGAAAGTTTTTTATCGTTGGTTAGAGGCATTTAATTATTTGAAGATTTAAAAAATTGTATGACTATATTTAACAAAATTAAAAAAAATGGCTAATTTCATCATTGTTAAGTAAAAAATCAGTTAAGTAAAAAAATCGGCTAAAGCAAAAAGAAAACAGTCATGAAAAAGTCAAAATTATGAGCCAATCAGAGAGGAGATAATGAAACAAACGTACAAATAATACTTTTTCTCGCTTTTGATTGGCTCATGTAGACTCAGGGGCGGATTTAGGGGGCGGGGACTGGAGGGTGGGGTACTGGACGCCTTCCCCCCCTCTCAGGGATTCGACCCCCTGCCGACCCAAAGTGTCCCCCCTTTGTACTATTCTGGGATATCCACATTTGGTGACGGACCCTGAAAATTTTCTAGAGGCGCCTTTGGCGCCACTGTATTCTAATTTTGAGGGGGGAGCGCGCGCCGTAAAAACGCGATTTTTGGTCGAAATTTTCCAAAAAGTGCCTAAAAACGCCTGTTTTTCAGAATTTTGACTGCGGCGCAGAAAATTTGGCCAAAACAGTGCTCGGAAAGTCAATTTGGTCGACCTAAAAAAAAGGTCGACAAAAATTTCGAAATTTTGAAAAAACAGGCCAAAAACAAACATTTTAGGCACTTTTTGGAAAGTTTTAACCAAAAAACTGCTTTTTTCGGCGCGCGCTACCACCTCAAAATTATTATATATTGGTGCCAAAGGCGCCTTCAGAAAATTTTTAGGGTCCGTCGCCAAAAATGGATATCTCAAAATAGTATAAACGGGGGACCTTTTGGGTCGGCAGGGGGTCGAATCCCAGAAAGGAGGAACGTCCCCCCCCCCCTAAATCCGCCCCTGAACATATTTCTAGTAGATAAGTGAAAGTCTTTTCCCCTTTAATTTTTTGGAAAACTTTTGTACGTGGTGGCAATAGTTCCTTTTGTAGTCAAAGGCGGGTTGTCAAATGAGTACCGCGTAAATATTGATTCTTCAGGTTAAAAATAAACAAAATAAAATATTTGCTCGTTTGTTACATTGATAAAATCCTAAAATCCATGTATTCGAAAGCCCCTCAACACCATTTTGAAATAAATTGAGATTGGCATTGGCTGGGACGGCTTCTTATGACTAGAAATAGCCTCTCGTAAAATTGACTGGTAGGACGCCATTTTAACCTGTTTTGGACTCAAAAATTACAGTAGTTTGAGATGTTTGATTAATCATTCATTTTCAATACGAGAAACGAATTAACGTAGAAACTATTTTGCTCTCAACAACAATACAGACATTTGGTAATGTACCAATTGTACAAACAACGTATTTTGACCAGCGTTCAATCACATTAATCATTGACTGAGCTGAACATAAATGCACAAAAACAAAACGCAAAATAATTATTCGAAAACTATAAACTAAATAAGAATTTTTTTGAAAATTAAAATGCAAAGATATCTGTTTTTGTTTTCATTATTCATTGGGAATTTTTTTATCCCGGATGTTTTTGCAGCGTTTCGGGAGACGCCGGCGTCCTACTTGGGAGAAATAAATTCTCGGGTGACGCTGACATGCGCATTTTACCAGGAAATGGGCCGGCTAAACGAGCCGATTCGAATTGAAATTGAGTGGCTATTCGCCAAGCCAAGAATAGCTCCAACGAGTTCGAACATAGCACCCGAGTTCAAACCGTTCTACGAAGACAGACGAAGGATATTCGTGACATATGCCAGGAGCGAGGCGGACCGAATCGTTACTAACTCGAGCACGATTGAGATTCGCAATGCGATGTATGAAGATATGGGAAAGTATAAGTGCATCATCAATAAGGGATCTACTTATGGGGGATTTGAAAGTCCAATTGCCGAAATTAGACTAGGTGAGTCAAAAGATTATGAACAAACACTCTTTTCACAGCAATCCGAGTAACTACCTCAAAATTGATAATTGTATTTTTTTCTGAATGATAAGGTAGTTTCTAATAAAAGGAAGCTGGTCACAAGCAAAATATCCTGATAAACATTGATATACCTGATATACCAGGGGAATAATTACCTGACACACTTTTAGCTCAACTTATTCTACGAACTAGAGATGATCTTTTTTTGAAATAAAAAATTCCTCGTTCGTGTAAAATTGTTTAAGATATGAGCCGACCAGTAAATTATAACAGCTCCAGTTTCATCATTTATAAATCTGGTTGAATCTGTTTGATAAGCTGGTTTTATTGTGTAGTGCCTCGAATGTCGGTGGACCCCAAGATTGCCCAGATAGACCGGGACAAGGAAAGGGTGGGACTGTTCTGCAATGTCTCCTGGCTGGACTGGGACAGGAGCAGTGGGATGAACAACATTCCCCTGGATCTGCAGAAGACTGGCTGCAAGGAGACCAAGATAGAGTGGTATGCGTCCAGGGAGAACATGTGGGTGAACCCGAATGACCCGGCTGCTATGGAGAGTGCATTCAACAACAGACGTCCGGCCACCCAGATCCCAAATGTTGTGTAAGTTGTGGATTGTGAGAACTCGTTAAAAAGATCATCACACTCTTGGAAAGATTGTAGGAGTCGAATCATTGGACATGTTCATATTCTCACTTACTACGTACTCTATTCTTTGGTTTTGAAAACGTTCCAGGTGACAAAATATATCATTTTTGGAAAAGTTTCGATATAGAGCTATTATATTGGAATTGAAGCTGAGTTAAAACATCCGTATTTTAACAAACTTCAAAAAAATTGAAATAAACATAACTTACCAGGGAAATAACCTGGCACTTTTTACAAAAAAGTTTTATTTTTTTTTGCTGTGGTAGAGTTGAGAACAGTGGACGTCGTCTGTGGATCTACAGTGAGCCGGAGGGATCCAACTACTACTGGGACAAACGGAACAGACAGAGACGCATTGAGGAGGACTTCTTCTTCGGCCAGGGCGATGACGTCATCACTAGGCTGGACAGAGACCTGATCAAGATCACCGGCATCTTCTGGTGTGAGTTCCAGTACTGCTACGAGAAGGACATGCAAACCCAGCGCACACATGCAGTAGTCAAATGTGAGTAAAACTATCAAGTTATAATTTCATAAGTAATCAATAGAAGTTTTTTCTACATCTATAAAAAAACAATCCGATATTTCAATGCTTAGCTTATAATTTTTTATTTGATTAATAACTACCTGGGGCACCATTAAGCAAATTGTTTAATAACTATGTACTGCTGTACTTTAATTTTCCAGCATTCGCCTTACTTCACGAATTTTTTTTCTATGGTCTTGAAATGTTTAAAGCCTAGTGTCTTTTTTCAATAGTTTATCAATTTCTGATCTGAAAACATTAGCATAAGATTATATTTAGACCCAATCAAGTTCGAGCGTGAGAAGATGGAGAGGAGTCTGAAGGGGTTCACGGATGAGGACATGGAGATCCCCTGTGTGGTCGCGGGGGGTCCATACTACACCATCAAGTGGGGCAAGGGCAACAAGACTCTCAGTGGGAACAGGAACGAACCCAGGTCTACCAACAGGAACGACGAACTCAGGTAACACAATCGGTGTCGGTTTTCGGCGGGAAATGGGGAAGGCGATTAGATACACGGGTTGACTTCCATATATGACCCCCATTCAAAACGTATAGGGGGCGATTATAGGTCATAGTATGGGAATTGTATGAATAGCTGAAAATTTTTTGTCAACTTATGTGCACAATTACATAACCTTAGCGGATAGAGTGATTAAAATGATGAGCAAATTGCCAAACTCGCTTCTAATTGAAATCACACAGCTTAAAATGAAAAATTTGGGCATCGTTTTTTTGGCTCAAATACATTATTCTCAACCATTTTTTAACCAATGGTAAGAAAAAAAATTCTCAAATTTTTTTTAAAGCAATGTGAATATCCGTGCAATTCAGGGGCAAAGGCTTATTCAAACTTGTTTTTTACTTAAAATTGGTGAGCACTGTTGTTAGGTACTACGACTTCAAGTACAACAAGACGACCGGGCAGCCGGACACTCTGGTGTTGAGGGGTTTGGAGCATTTCGACCGGGCAGAGTACTTCTGCAATGCCACCAGCTTCGACGGCACAGAGATATCCGCCTCCTTTATGCTCAAGGTCAAAGGTATGATAAGCGACACCTTATTGTGTCAAAGAGATATTTCATGCTTAATGAGAAGAACATGTGTATTGGTATTACCATAAGGTAAAAGGTCATTGAACCGAAAGCGCAACTGTTTCTTTATTTGAACCATGTGAGGGTTAATTTACTGTATTATTTAAGGGTAACTAGTTCTACAATCAATCATATTAATATCTTTTTTTTTAAACAGATTGTCAGACTATTTCACGTGTCTTCTTTCGTGTATTCAGGCCTGGTAATTTTGGTTTGTTTTCAGACCAGTATACATCCTATATTCCCCTGGGAGTGATAGTGGCCCAGATATTACTCATTTTCATGCTCATCTTCGTGGCCGAGAAATTCTTTGTCCAAGACCCCCACCAACTGCACAAACACAACGAGAGGTTCTCCGTCGTCAATGCCCTCGAGATGACTCATGGAGGGTCCAGACGCAACTTGTGAGTCATCATTTCACGTTTCTTTTTCGTTTTTGCAGGTTTTGATGCGGGGTTGAAGGAATGAAAAAGAGCGTTTATGTTAGCCATGTTCAAATGTTGCTGTAAAAACGATTTTGTCCTTTGTGACAAAGGTCTAAACTTATTCCAATTTCAAAAAACGTGTTCACATGTTAATGAACTAAGCCTGCACTGAAATATTGATAAATAGGAATAGAGTTTAGTTTCAATATACACATTTTTGCTTTTTAACATACTAATGAACAAATTAAGGTTCATTATATCAACTATAAATGTTTCAGAACCGTCGACGACCGAACTCTTTCTGTAGCTAGAGGAGATTTCGTGGACATCCAACAGAACGCATACAACAGCCGAAACAGTGTTATTTGATTATAAAGCGAACACGAAAATTTGCTTAACTAATTATTTGTGAATTTTGTAATTATTGGACCATTTGTAACTGAATTTATTAGTTTTGATTTATATATTCTTTCCGTGGTTTTGTGTACAAAACTTGAATGCTCATTTGTCGCAAATTCTGGGGGTTGCATGCGCCACTTTCGTCTCGTGCTTATAGCTAATCTCAAAGTCGAAAATAAAAAATCTTACTCGCTAAGCAATGAGATTTGTAGGTGATAAATGATGTAATGTGATTTGGTAGATATACAGAGTTTTGATTAAGGAAAGCCAACTAATATGTTCAGATGTGTTTCTGCAAACTTCGTCTATCTCACCCAGTGTCGGAGCTAGGATTTTCTCGAGAGGGGCGGATTTTCTGAAAACAAACCAAAAATACCAGGCCTGAATACATAAAAAAAGACACGTGAGATAGTCTGACAACCTTTTCGGCGAAAGTGACGGAAAACTTGTGCTCGGGGTGATTTTTTTCTCCAGGCAAACTTTGACTTGGTAACTAGCTTTTTTGACGGATTCTTTTACCGTCAGCCAAAAAGCATTGTTGTCCTGAGCTCAAAATTGAAACAAATATATTCCAGCTGTGATCAGTGTCCGAGTAAAGGAATGAGGCAAGTGAGGCGGACGACCCCTAAAGGATTTGACATGGTATTTTTTTCCTGCATCCATTTTCGGCCGACTAACCATAAAAATTTTCTAAAAGCAAAATTTATGTCAAAAATTTAGGTTCCAAAAAAACGCGCTAGTATACATTTTTGACCTGTTTCTTTTCAAAAATTTGCCTGCCGCGTTAAAATTTTTGTTAAAATAAGGTCTTTATAAGGTTCTTATTGTGATCGGAAATTCAATATTTGGTCGACCTAAAAAAAGGTCTAACAATTTTTGATTTTTTTTTTCTCGAATATCTGCCTTCCCCTTCCCCCCTCTCGAGAAAATCATAGATCCGCCCGGTCTGTGATAATTTTTGTGAAGTCACGGAGAACTAGATATTGCCAATTTGGCTAATTTGGGACAATTAACGCGCAATATAGTTCGTGCTATTAACGCGTTAGCGAAGACGTAATCCTTGTTTCAAATTGTTCCGAAATTAAATGATCCACGCTATTTGGACTAGTTAAAACTTTGCTATGTGCAAAATATATTCCTTTCTTCTTAACATAGCGTGTGGGGGATAAATTTCAAAATTAAACGTACAAAAAATCATAAAGTTTTTCAACCTGAACACTACTTTACAAGTTTTAACAAGCTGTCGGAACACTGAGAACATGGACCTGATATGAACAGTCTTGATCTTTTCGATATCAGTTTGAACGCAAAACTCATGATTGTTTATATATTGTTTTTATAAAGGCTCATTATTGCTCGTTAAGCCTTTAAGGCTCGTTTTCTTTTGGCATGTTAATAATTGCGTGAACATTCAGTTAACAAACATTGAGATCTGCTAGTAAAACTTAGTTTAATCCTTATGATCTAAAAGAGAACCATGCGAAGAATGCTGCTATTTTTTCAACATAAAATGAGAAACACATCCTGTGCGAAACTTAGTCGAAACTGCTCGTATCAAGGCGAAGCCCTCAATGTTATCATTGCACTTAAAAGTCTGTGGAGTACTGTTTGCTTTACAAAAAAGAATGATTTTTTTTCTAAAAATGAACAAACCTCCAAGTACTTTTTTTGATAATCATCACCCCGCACTCTATGTAAAGTACAATGTGATATATTTTGCATTTGGCAAAGTGCTAATTAGTCCAAGTAGCATGCCTTAAATTATTTTGGAACAACTTCTAACACGGTTTAAACTTCCGCTTATGCGTTAAGAGCACAAAGTATATCGCGCGTTAATGGTCTCAAATTGGTAAAATTGGCATTTTTATTAACCCATAAGTTTACGAAACATAAGCACAGGTGAAATATTTTTTGTTGAATTTGAGTTCAAGACAATGAATGATTTTCCGAATGAGATAAAAAATTTTCTCAAAAATTGTCCGTTAAAAACCAACTGAGTATAAATTTTTCCGTCACTTTCTTTGAAAGTTGGATGAAAAAAACTACAGCAAGTTTATAAACTGAGAAAACCTCTACTGTTAACTTTCAAAAAAAATTAGAATGTTCCAAATTGGTGATGCAAGCTTATTTATTATGATTGATTTGTTGCAAGGATCGAAATATATCTCTCTACTTCGTATGGCGTGTGGGTAGATTTTTTTATTGCATGTGGATAGAATTCGTTTCTTTTTTCATTTTGTTTTATTACATTGAATTTTTCATGTTATTACTGCTCCATAGACATTAAGTAATCGGAAATTTTAGGGCTCCGCCCTGGTACGAGCAGTCTTGTTTTGATTTGGAATTGGTTTTGATATATTTTTCATTACATCAAATGTCAAGTTTCATTACATCCGTACCTTTGCTTTTTGTTTAATGAAGCGACGTTTAACTTTTGAGATTTTTTTGTAAATTCGACTTGTGTTTCATGCAGCATTGAAGTTACATCGCTCGCTGATCAAGTCCCGTGGAGCGTATCAAGTGCTATCCTGCACCTACCTCCCATGGATTCTAAACGATTATAATGGACTTCCCAGACAATAAAAACCCATTATAATCCGTTATACTCAATCATAATCCATAACTTTTGGCACTAAAATTGATTGTTTTTGCCTAGATAATCCATTATATTCGATTTTTTAAAGTAAAAAAAAAACAGTACAACCCATTATAATCGATTATAATCCCTTTTCTTTTTAGAACTAAATTGTAACAATTTTGCAGTAATTTTGCAAACTTTGCGAGAAATTTGCAAAATTTATGCCACGTTTTTTTTTACTAAAAATCATGTATTTTCCCCCATGTTTACAGTTTACCCCCAGAACAACCCCCCCCCCCCCAACCCCTCCAACTAAAGGGGGAAAGTATGGAGGATGCGGTCAATCCTTATCCCCCGCTCCCTCCCTCCCATTTTACCATTAAATAATTCCCCCTGCTCTTTTCCACTCCCCATCACATTTGAGTTTCACTTTTGAAAAACCACTTTGTCATAACATAATGAAAATTTGCATGGCGAACAAACTAAATTTTAAATCGTAAAATTGTAACATACCTTAAATCGTAACATCAAGCACTCAGCCCTAATAACACGTAATACAACTGAAAAAACTGAAAGTTTTAAATTTGGGGGAAATGAAAAGAGCCTTTCCCCTACAGAGTTATATGTAGTACCTCACCTACGAACGGTGGCTGTGGTGAAAAAACAGTAAAAAAATGAGACAAAAAATATAAAATCTTATGTTAATTGCAGCAATTTATGGAACACAAAATTGAGCAACTGCAATAACGATAACTTTGAAAAAAATTGTAAGTTTTAACTCAACTTTTCAAAAATAGCCATTATATTTGATTAAAATTGATTATAATGGATTATATTGACATAAAAAATATTAGGATTATAATCGAATATAATGGATTATATTAACATAAAAAACATAAGGGTTATAATCCATTTTTGATGGATTATAATCGATTATTTTGTAATTTTATAGATACTGACGATATAATGACAAAATAATTGATTAAGATCCATGGGCGCTCGGTGCGGGATAGACGTATAAACAGATCGATGCTCGCTTTAAACCTGATAAAAAACTTCTTGAATGCTGGAGCATTTTTTTAAGCACGACGATTTTTGTTTTTCACCTGATCGTTGTTGAGTAATTAGGATGTAAAGGTACCAAAAAACTCGTCCCTGGAATCAGTAGCAGACTTAGGGGGGGGGGGCGGACGTTACCTTTTCCCTCAGGGATTCGACCCCCTGCCGACCCAAAGGGTCCCCCTTTGTACTATTTTGAAATATCCATTTTTGGCTGACAGACATTAAAATTTTTCTAAAGGAGCATTTGGGAAAAATATATACTAATTTTGAGGGGGGGGGGGGGGAGCGCCGAAAAAACGCGATTTTTTGGTCGAAAATTTCCGAAAGAATTTTGTAATAAAAAGTGATAAAAAGTTGTAAAGACACAAAAAATGATGTTTATATACTGTTTTAACCCACTGAATTTAAATATTTTCATCAATCATGAAATCTATCAATCAATTCCTTTTTACAAAATGATATAACATACTATTATAATGTATATTCTACTGATAATCAAATTGTAATAAAACATTAGTTTATTTAAATTAACTCAATTAAAATACACGACGTGAGTTTGATTCAGAGTTTTCACTTTTTTCTGTTTTGGTGTCTTTCTATACCTTTGCAACTCTTTGCCCACCCTTTCTTGCAGAAGCAATTCGAAGTAACAAATAAAGCTATGAACTGAAACTTAAGCCGTACTTCGGTCTCCGAATGACAATCGATCGCACAAAAGGATATAAAATTAGCCATTTGGCCAGGCAGCATCTTCCAACTCCTGGTATCAAGTTTTTGGTTAAATAAATAAATTTCTTAATTGCTCTTTTTTTTAGAATCAATTCATAATATTTTGCTATTTTCTCAAAATTTCTAATTTGCAGGACTTAAAAACCGTGTACAAAAAACTTTTTTGGGGCGTTTCCTCAAATCATTACTCAGTAGCGGATATTTAAGGGGGGGGGGTTGATGGGGGTGGGGTTGATGGGGGGGTTGATGGGGGGGGGGTGGTACGTTTTCTTTTCTTCTCAGGGTCCCTTTTGTACTGTTTGAGATATCCATTTTTGATGACGAGACCTAAAACTATTCTAAAGGTGCCTTAGGTGCCAGTGTATACTAATTTTGAGGTGGAGAGGGCGTGCCGAAAAAAAGCATGAAATGTGGTCAAAATAGAGTCTTTATTGTGATTTGGAGAGCTCGAAAAATTAATTTGATTGACTTAAAAAAAGGTGAACAAAATTTTTGATTTTCTTTTCGAAAATCTCTTTAGAAAATCCTAGATCCGCCCCTGTCACTTTTAATGATAGGGTAACAATCAATATGTATCGATTGTAGCTATTGGAATAAATTTATATTAGCCAGCTGCTAAAAGTTTTGATTGCGAAAAACCAATTGGATAGTTCGGAAAGTTAAGGGGTAACCAATCGGCCAATCGCAAATTTGGGGGCTAGCTGACGCTTTTCTCACTCCCTCGAGGGTTCGCTACTCTGGCCACCAGAATTAACATTCATTTTTCTTGCTCGACCAACTCGATATAAAAAAAATTGATCAAAACTTCTCAAAAAAGCACTTAAACACCATTTTGTCCTTTTAAATTATATTTTGGTCTTCATTGTCTTTCAGGAGAGCTCGGAAAATACTTTGGTTGGTTTGGATTTAAAATCTCTCGACAAGTTTTCGAATCCCTCTCCTCTCGGGAAAATGTTATATTCGACGCCAACATGAACAGAAATGAGCAAATTTTGCCGAGCTAGAACTTTTAAGTTAATCGTGTATAAAAAGAAACAATGGTTCAAAAACACGATCCGTCTACTCCGCCTGGTCCTCCTCCCCCTCCTCCCCCTCCTCCTGTGCCTTCTGCCTTTTCAGCGCACGCTTTTTGCTGTGAAATATAATTCTTGCACATTTGTCTGTCCACGTCTATGTCGTCAAAACAGCCACTTGTGGAGTACGGATGAATATTTTCATTGCAGCATTCATAAGTCCACCCCGGATCTTTGTCCATGCACTGACACCATTTTGCAGGCGCTAAAAAATGGACTGGCGTACCAATTTCAAATTTGTGGGCTCAGAAAGAAACTGGAAACAGATAATACTTTACATTTTACCTTTAAGGCAAAAATTAAAATATTCACCTGCTGGTAGCCCGGATTGACCGAAAAGGCTAAGAGAAAAACACAGGGAAAGAAATTAATCAAACAGTTTCTAAACATTTCCGTAAGTAGAGCAGATCCAATGCAAATTTCTATAAGAAAGATTCGATGAACAAGTAATTTTCATAAAACAAAAAAGCGTGTTGTTAGTTTTTTCTTTCGTGTCATTATTCGCTTTCTGATTTTCTTGCGCTCAAACACAAATGACAAAAGCTCTGGTTCCTCAAAACTTTTGGGTCAGTGAGACAGTCGAGATCTTGAAGCATAGTGGATACTAGAAACATATGAGACCAGCCTAAAATGATATAATGTACAAACCATGGTTGTTGGGAAACAGCAAAAGTCTTGAAAAAACTAAAAACAAAACTGCATACTAAGCCATTGAAGACCACCTTACATACGAAAAAAAAACATTTGCTCAGAAAAAAATTAGTTATGCGCTTCAAAAGTTTTGTCCATTTTTGTGTGAGGATTCAATGATAACAAAAAAACAAAGATAGACGGTATCAGTAGTGAACTTAATGGGGGGATGCACACGCTTCTCCCTCGAAATTAGTATATATTAGTGTCGAAGGCGCCTTCAGAAAAGTTTCAGGGTCCGTCAGCCAAAAATGGATATCTCTCAAAATAGTAAATTGGGGGACCGTTTGGATTGGCAGGGGGTCGAATCTCTGAAGGTCGAAGCGCACAACTGTTTTTTTATCAGTCAAAAGTTTTTTTTTCTTGTATAAGGTAGTCTCGAGTGGCTAATTTTACAGTTTTTAGTTTTACCAAGATAAAAAATACTAAAGGCTCTTCAGAGTTTTAAAAATTTTAGCATACACTTAGAGCTTTGCCAATTTCCAACCCTTATATCAACTTTAGGCTGGTCTCTAGGTGTTTCTAATATGCACTATGCTTCAAAATCTCGACTGTCTGACTGACTCAAAAGTTTTGAGGAACCAGAATCTTTGACATTTTGGTTTGAGCGCAAGCAAATCAGGCAGCTATTTAAAAAATAACAAGACTCAGAAAAGCTAACAACACGTTTATTTTGTTTATGAAAATTACTTATTCATCGACCCTTTTGCTCTACGCATGGAAATTTGCTCTACGCATGGAAATGCTTAGAAACTGTTTGACTATCTTGTTTCCATATGTGTTTTCCTTTTAGCCTTATTGCTCAACTTGTGCTGCCAGCAGGTGAAAACTTTAATTTTTTTAAACGCAAAAAAAACACTCAACTATAAAAAAAGTTTTGCGCTTCGAAAGTTTTGTCCATTTTTGCATGAGGACTCAATGATAAAAAAAAACAAAAGACAAAATCGGTAGCGGATTTAGGGGGGCACTCCCCCTATCAAGAATTCGACCCTGCCAATCCAACGGGTTCCCTCTTTGTACTGTTTTGAGAGATATCAATTTTTGGCTAACGGACCCTAAATTTTTTCTAAAGGCGCCTCTGGCGCCAATAAATATTAATTTTGAGGGGGGAAGCATGTGCTAAAAAAACACATTTTTTGGTCTTTTTTTTCCAAAAAGTGCCTGAAAACGCATTTTTGGCCTTTTTGAAAAATTTGCGTGCGGAGAAGAACATTTGGTCAAACTGAGGTCTTTATAGTGGTTTGGGAGAGCTCAGAAAATCAATTTGCTCAAACTAAAAAAAAGTCGAGAAAATTTCCAAAATTTGTTTGAAACTCCCACCTTCCTTCTTGATAGATTCTTAGATCCGGGCCTGGACAGTATCACATTGAAAAATTGAAAAGAAATATCACCGAAAATGAAAAACAAACAAAAACAAAATAAAAAACCATACAAATTTTCTAAAATTAGGTTTATATATTTCTTGGAAGTTTTTTCTTTTGTTTTTTTCTTTTGTGTCATCGCTAACGGAAGCTCGAAATTAGACTAAAACTAATTATTTGGCACACTATTATTACCACTGGGAAAATTATTACGAAGTTTTTTGTCTCGTTCGAATGACGGACGACTAAAAGGGCATTAATATGATATACCGATTGACCATTTTCAATGATATAGCAGCTGTTCCTGATTTTGCGTGGAGAACAAAAAAACGAATATATCACACTCGAAGATAAAATTGCTCCCACTTTGTTCCGGTTTCACTTTAGCACTAAAATGTTTATAAGAAAGTGTATCCAATTGTCTGACACGGAAGGTCATTTATTGTATTATTTTTAGTATAATCGATTATTATCCCTGAAACTCTAGTGCGGGCTGAAAACAAAAAATTGAGTGAAATGTGACTAATTAGAAGTCAAAATTGTCTGAAAAACCCACACCTTCTTTCGGAACAAAAAGTTCTGAGAATAGTGAAAATCAGTTTTTGTGGTTGAGATGAGTACATTCTGTAAATTTTGATTTAACAAGTCGCAGAAATTTATAGAAGAAAAAACATTTTTTTATTATCAAGCTCCTTTAACTTCATACAAAAATTGATGATTGACACTCTTCACATGATTAGCTTTGAATTTTCAGTAATTCGTGTAAAATTTACTTGACTAATTAACTTACTGCAATTAGAAACTTACATTCTTGCCCAAAAGAGAGTTTTGAAAAAGGTCCGATGGCTTTATTTTTTTATAAGCTTGAAGGGCTCCAGCGTATACGGTTATAGAAACCATTCGAATACAAATAAAGTTAAATTTAAATTAAATTCATTAGAATTTCTCACTCATGGATGCTTCTACATCAGTAGGGTTGCCACAATGACCTGGAAGTCCGTCGCCAGGCAATCGTGAGCACCAACTCAATGAAGCCAACGATAAGACAACTACTGCAACTCCGTAGCACATAGAAACTGAAACACCAAAACTTAAGACAAAAATTACAAGTGATCAAAAAATACTCTATATAAGTTACAATACCAATCCACTTTGAAATGTCAAAATTAATTAAATTTAGATTGGTAGCTGTCACACACACGGGCTGAGGTGATCGACTCAAGATTTGACAGAAACTGTCGAAGGATGACTGATTTTCGTCGCAAACGAAGGCTTTGGTTAAACGAAAGGCTTTGGTTAAACGAAGGCTCTGAATAAAATTGAGTCATGTATCGAACAGGGTAGAATCATGAGTCAAACAGGGTCGATTGAGTTGAAAAAGGTCGAGTCATGGGTGGAATAGGGTCGGGTCATGGGTCGAACAGAGTCCAAAAGGTCGGGCGGTGTCGAATCATTTTTTATTTTTAACCGGCCATAGGCATAACCCGAAGGTTATTTATTTAAAGTTAACTAAGCTTTGGCTATCTTACAAGAACCTACAAACAAGTGCTACAAAAAACAAGAACTTACAAGAGCGTACAACACCATAAAAAATCTAGGAAGTACAAAACGAAGCGCACAAACTAAGGAACTGCTTTGAGGCGGAAAACATACAGAAGTTCGCTGTATGAAAAATGCAGTGAAAATCAGAAGGGAATAAAAGAAAGCTCATTACAAAATAACATCAGAATTTTAGAAGCAGGTATCTCTTATTTTTGGCTCTCCTCTAAATAATCTTTTTCTAGATTTGAACCAACTCAGTAGATGTGAATTAGAATTGTCGTTAAATGCTTAAAACGAGAAGTTTCATAACAACTTGGACACTAAAACAGCATCATTGTTTTTTTAACAAAAGTGCGTCGCTGTGTGTACATGTGCGTTAACGATCCTAGCATCAAAAGCGCACGACCCTGGTCCTTGCATGTATGTGCATAAGCTTATGATGAACGCTATTGATGAATGGTCAGCTTGGCTTGTCCAATTTCGTCCAACAACCCTGGCAAAAAAAAAGAAAAAGTTTAAAATTTTTGATACTTCTCTATTCTCTTTGCACTTCAATACCATAAGAGGTTAAAATAAAACACTGTGCGTCCTAATTGATGATTTTTTCCTTGCTATATGACCCGCTATAATCAATGAAATTGATACCTTCACGCACTGACTTTAAAATTATAAATGTTGGACTTCAAAATAATAGCGTTGTCATTTTGCGGAAGAGTTTCAGATTGTGCATCTGTTTAACGGTTCCCAAGATTATCACCCCGCGTATTTAACATCCTTTTTCTTAACCCCTCTCCTATAACACCAGAATCAGATAATCCCCTACAACTTAACCCCTTTTTAATACCAATTGTTAGAATCAAAGTGAAACTTACATGAAAGGAATTCCGAACCATAGCGTGGGTAAAATTTTTGCAAAACAAAAGAAAATAACTTGCAAGCTGCTAAATGCGGTTAAGATTTGAACAGGAATGACCTTGCCTATACTTTGATATGAATTTGAAAACTAATCTGATCGGCATGATTCAAATTAATAACCAAAAATGATTAGACTTCTACAAACTTGAATTTGATCTCGAAAATAATCTTGCTAACAAAAAAATATTTGGCTAGAATTAAATGAAATATTGAATGAAAACTAGTTGTGACCAAAACATTGATCAAAAAAATTTGAGTTTTTTTTTCAAATTCAGCTAATTTTAAAGTAAATTTTATCAAAATTTCCAAATCATCTAAAGGGTTTACCAGCCCCTAGTCCCAACTTAGCGTCACAGTAAAGGAAAAAATAATTTGGGAATAAATTGCTAAAGAAGGCATTTTTCCAACACGAGTCAAACCAACGCGTTTTTTTCAAGTCACCGGGAGGCTGCAAGGAAACCTATTTTCTCAAAAAATTTGAAAAACATTATTTTAATTTTGATTTTTTTATACAAAGGATAAATGTTTAGATTGAGTTCGCCATCGCGCAAAAGAAATATAAATCAGTTTTCTCTTCGTAAGCCTGCATAAAATTCTGAATTTTTTTGTTTAGGAATCGGTACATTTTCTGTTTTGTAAACTGGTGCCCGCTCGAAGCGTTTAAAAGTTTAGGTTTTTGAAGGGAGGCTTCTTTATGCAAGCTTGTGATTACTTTACAAATACTGAGGTGTGAGCCACTAACATATGGTTGTATGTCATGATGCCAGCGCTCTAGAGCGTTTGTTGTTCTTGACAAAAAAACAGATGTTACCACATCTCTTTGGCTCCATAGTGAAAGGGAAAAAACTTCTAGATTCGGGACGAGTCTTTTTAAGTAATTAAATCCAAAATAGAGGCAGAGCCATTTTTCAATTTTTTCTAATTTCCTCGTCAATTTTTGCAATTTTTTTCCAACACTTTCATGGCGCGATCGCATACTTTTTGAATTTCATCAATTTTTTTATGATACGCGTTTGCTATTTTCTTCTTTTTTTTCGAAAGCCAGAGAGGGTAAAATTTTAGGTGCTAATGCAAATTCGTAATTTGTTTTGTACTCAAATTTTATTCAAAGTTCATTAAAAAGGACTTAGTTTGAAAGGGGTGTTAAATTAGTGTGGGGTTATCTTGTTATGGGGTTATAAAAAAGATGTAGAAATTGGAATTAAATAAAGTGGGGTTAAAGAGTGGGACACCCAGTTCAACCTACCATCTTTCTCTCGTATAACCGGTACAATTTCTTTTAACTTTTTACTAGTCCTTTTTTAATCTCTTCTTTTTTCCTTTTCTCAAAAGTTTATTTTAGTCTCATGCAAAAAATTTTTCAAACGGTATCCGCATTTAAAAGTAAATATGATTTTGAAAGTTACAATTTAATCTTTTTTTTGCCTGCTAACGTGAACTGGAATTTAGAAAAAGAAGAAATATTTAAGTAGTCACGCTTTTGCCAAAAATTATGCAGGTAAAACAAACCAGCTTATGAATTTTTTTGAGAATAGTATTGAAAAAGTTGATGGAGTACAGTAGAAAACTTCAGCAAATTTTTTTTAAAAAAATTGTTCAAGACTAATTAAATTTGTGGCTTTCTAAAAATGTGTATTAGCTGTTTCTTGTTTTCAATTGCACCTAAAAGTCTTTTAACCGCAAATAACCTTTTCAATGCAAAAAAAAAAAAATTGTAAATCAACTCCATTAAATGAGTATATGAAAAAAGCGTGGCAATCAAATTTAAAACATAAAAATTACATGGCAGGGAACTTTTTTATGGACACGAACATTCTGATTTAGTTTTTTTTTGTATCTTCTTATTTCTTGTAAATAATTTTGCATGTTCTTTGCCAATGTTTGCTGAATGCGAGTTGTTTGTTGGCCAAAAGCTGAATTTTTATTGCATAGGGAAAAATTATTATTAAACAGTTTTCAGCTATGAAAACTGTATAATAAGGTTTTTACAATACAGATATTCCAAAAATGAAGATTTTCGGTGAATTTTTTTTAAATTTTGTTTCAAGTTAAACCTAAATTGTTTGTTTTCATCTATGTTAAGACTGCTTGTCATACACTTCCAATAATGGAAAAATTGCTCGCCATAAAAATCCAAATTTGGAAAAACTGCTAAGCATGCTATTTTCTTACAACTTTTTTTTGCTCTATGGAATTGTTGATAAACGTTTCTTCAATAATTTTAGATCGTATGACTAATCCTTTGTAGCAACCCGGGCCCTTTTTTATTTGATTTCAAGTTAATTGTACAACAATAATTCATTTTTGCAAAGATTATAATCTGAACCTGATGGTACAAAATAGAAGTTGAGAATGTCCTAAAAACTTTGACTACCTTTTAAGGTACCTGGTAAACGTCCCAGGTTACCGAATTTTGTTGTTTTTCAGTTGAAGGAATCTGCGTGTTTGAGACTGTATATTTCGTATTTCGTTTTTATCAAAACTTGTTATCGAAAAAAAGTAGAAACGTTTTTTATCCTTTTTCGAAAACTAAAACAACAAGCCAGCTATTTAGCTATTTGGGATAACAAACCAAAGCAAGTTCTAATTGACACATCCCTGCTAAGTTCATAAGTTTATAACAAGAAGAGAGAAAACTTACTTTTTCCGTACAACTTCACAACAGCCATTGTAGCAATGAATACAGTAGAACAACTGCAATTTAAGCGGTGTTTCAGTTTAATTTTCTTAAAGTCAATAAAATCAAAAATCAGTTTAACTTCTAACTTCCTAACGTTCCTTATAGAAAGCTTAATTACTAATTTAAAAAAAAAACAGGATATACAGTAAAGTCAGATTTTTAAAATTTATTTCAGACCAATAAATTACTCGAACAGACTTGAAGGATTTAGGAAAAAGTGTTAATCAAACTTTTTCGAAAGTTTCTATAAACTTGAAAATTTTTCATACTCTTTCAAAGTCGTTTTATTCTATTAAAATAGCGAAGTTAAAAAGAACTATTGAAAACAGTGAAAGAAATTTGGTTATATAGATAATTTTGTATTTTTTGGTCTTCTGTAACTAGAATAAACCATAATGGAATTCAGACGCTCGATTACTTTTTAGGATAAAATAAATAACAGAAAGAGGAAAAGCAAGTTTTGAACAAAAATCCAGCTGCAAGAAAAAATTCAAGTTTGTTCTCATATTTGAATGATTGGCTTTTAGCACTGGCTATTTTCGTTCTTTTTCTCGAGACTAATTGGTACTATTGATTAAGCTTGGACCCACAGTCTCGATGCAAATGAAAACATTTGGTTGAAACTAAAATACCAAAATTGAAACTTTCATCGAATGTTTTTGAGAGTCAATTTCTGTTGAATTTACCGTGTTGTTTTTTGAGGCACGATTTTACGAGCAATTCATATTCCTGAATTATCAGGCTGCCTTTAGGCTGCCACTTTTTAAAAAAATTACGAATTTTTGAAAATAACACTTTTTTTTTACAAATTTTTGCAAATTTAAAAGTTTAGCATAGGGTTTTAATTACATAATTCAAAAAGATTTGATAAAATTATGATAAAATTTGATGTTTTTTTCAAAACAAAAAAAAACTTCTTTTTTAAGTTATGAAATTTTTTCTGAAAAATATCCCCCACGCCATGTAAAAAACAAAGTGATCGATTTCGCACCCAGTAACAAAAACAATATGGCAAATAGTCTGTTTCGATCAATCTGGAACGAAATCTTTGGACGGATTAAACATCCGCTTACACGTTAATAGCTTGAAAAATTTCACAAAATATATCGCTATATGTTCCAAATTGGCAAAAATGGAAATATTTCAACTGCCATAAATTTACAAAAAAAGAATCAAAATTATTGTATCTTTTTAAATTTGAGCTCAAGCCAACATTATCTTTCAGATAAAACCACCCCGTGCACAAATAGTCCGTCACTTTCATCAAAAATTGGAAAAATAACGTAAAGTTGGAAAAATAAGTAAAGTAGAAAAATCATAAGAAAAATAAATAAATAATCGGAAAAATAAGTAAAATTAATTGGACTTATTAGCTGGCCTTACTTGAGTTTGAAAAAATTTCTGAGCCAGGATGATACGCTGTTTGCACCAAAAACGCATACTAATATAGTACGCCAAGCTCTTCTATTTCACGCAAAAATTCCTGCAAATAATCGTTATATAAATTTGTACGATGTATGTAGTTTATGCTGAACAGAGCGTTACAATTTTTATGCTGAAAAATTCAATTGAGCATAAAAATTATTTGATTATTCAAGCCTGGTTTTCATATTTAAGTTTGAAACGAGAACCCAAATGAATCGTTCTCGGTTTTTTTTTACTGACACGAATATACCACTGTTAAACACAATGGTGCTGATATGACTGTCCTTTTATGTCAATGAAAATATTCTTTCTTTTTAAAACATTATGCTGATAACACGCGGCAAACACTAAATGACAGCGAAGTATGTCTAAATGGAAAAATAACTCTTACGAGAAATGCAACTGATTGTAATAAATGAAAACAGTTTTTCGTTTTCTGAAATGGTTATAATTTAGAAACAAGAAACAGCAAGAGTGCTCATTACGGGGCGAAACCTTGAATAATATGACTGCCCTTCACAAAGATATAGAAAGAAAAGAAAAATAATTGTAATAATTGCAAATCTTTTCCCGCGACTCTAGTACAAAATATGTAATTTTTTTTGTATTCAGCTTTTGTCTAAGAATTTTTTGGCAACTGAAAATTTAAAAAATCCTAGTCTTGACAATTAAAACAAATGCTCAAAAAAACCCTGAAAACGAGTTTTATACAAAGTAAGAACAAAAATGAACGCAAACAAACTTGAAAAGCTTGTTCTTAAGGAGTATTTTGGTAAATACCTATTCATCTTTTTGAATTTTTTTTTACAACTACTATGAGCAAATGGCAAAAAAATTTTGCTAACTTCTGTCCGAATATCGATTTCAAATTTTAATTATTTTATCCCGGGACTGAAAACACCAATATTCAACATCTGTAATCAGATTTTAACAGCGTGAAATTTTCAGAAACAGTTGTGTTTAGAATTTTATCAAAATGAACAATTCAATTTAAGCCATTGAAAATGTATTACATCATATGATCATTTTTTTTTCTTAATATATACGCTCGATTACTTTTTAGGATAAAATAAATAACAGAAAGAGGAAAAGCAAGTTTTGAACAAAAATCCAGCTGCAAGAAAAAATTCAAGTTTGTTCTCATATTTGAATGATTGGCTTTTGGCACTGGCTATTTTCGTTCTTTTTCTCGAGACTAATTGGTACTATTGATTAAGCTTGGACCCACAGTCTCGATGCAAATGAAAACATTTGGTTGAAACTAAAATACCAAAATTGAAACTTTCATCGAATGTTTTTGAGAGTCAATTTCTGTTGAATTTACCGTGTTGTTTTTTGAGGCATGATTTTACGAGCAATTCATATTCCTGAATTATCAGGCTGCCTTTAGGCTGCCACTTTTTAAAAAAATTACGAATTTTTGAAAATAACACTTTTTTTTACAATTTTTTGCAAATTTAAAAGTTTAGCATAGGGTTTTAATTACATAATTCAAAAAATTTGATAAAATTATGATAAAATTTGATGTTTTTTTCAAAACAAAAAAAAACTTCTTTTTTAAGTTATGAAATTTTTTCTGAAAAATATCCCCCACGCCATGTAAAAAACAAAGTGATCGATTTCGCACCTAGTAACAAAAACAATATGGCAAATAGTCTGTTTCGATCAATGTGGAACGAAATCTTTGGACGGATTAAACATCCGCTTACACGTTAATAGCGCGAAAAATTTCACAAAATATATCGCTATATGTTCCAAATTGGCAAAAATGGAAATATTTCAACTGCCATAAATTTACAAAAAAAGAATCAAAATTATTGTATCTTTTTAAATTTGAGCTCAAACCAACATTATCTTTCAGATAAAACCACCCCGTGCACAAATAGTCCGTCACTTTCGTCAAAAATTGGAAAAATAACGTAAAGTTGGAAAAATAAGTAAAGTAGAAAAATCATAAGAAAAATAAATAAATAATCGGAAAAATAAGTAAAGTTAATTGGACTTATTAGCTGGCCTTACTTGAGTTTGAAAAAATTTCTGAGCCAGGATGATACGCTGTTTGCACCAAAAACGCATACTAATATAGTACGCCAAGCTCTTCTATTTCACGCAAAAATTCTTGCAAATAATCGTTATATAATTTTGTACGATGTATGTAGTTTATGCTGAACAGAGCGTTACAATTTTTATGCTGAAAAATTCAATTGAGCATAAAAATTATTTGATTATTCAAGCCTGGTTTTCATATTTAAGTTTGAAACGAGAACCCAAATGAATCGTTCTCGGTTTTTTTTTACTGACACGAATATACCACTGTTAAACACAATGGTGCTGATATGACTGTCCTTTTATGTCAATGAAAATATTCTTTCTTTTTAAAACATTATGCTGATAACACGCGGCAAACACTAAAATGACAGCGAAGTACGTCTAAATGGAAAAAAAACTCTTACGAGAGATGCAACTGATTGTAATAAATGAAAACAGTTTTTCGTTTTCTGAAATGGTTATAATTTAGAAACAGCAAGAGTGCTCATTACGGGGCGAAACCTTGAATAATATGACTGCCCTTCACAAAGATATAGAAAGAAAAGAAAAATAATTGTAATAATTGCAAATCTTTTCCCGTGACTCTAGTACAAAATATGTAATTTTTTTTTGTATTCAGCTTTTGTCTAAGAATTTTTTGGCAACTGAAAATTGGGTCTGAAAATGATAGTTTGTGAAGTTTGTAATAGTTTTTTAAACCGTGAGAAAATGAAAGACATTTAGCTTAAAGTTTTTCACTCCGCATCGAGAAGTTTTGTGGATAAATTGAGACACGCAGTGTCGAGACGAGAAAAACTTTGAATTGCAATGTAAACGAATGCCAATCTGCAATGGTACACATGTGAAAAAATGAGAAACAAAACTCACATTTAAAAACGTTTTCACGCTATCACGCAATTTTTTCTTTCTAAATTAAATTGATTAATATTTTTAGGAACATAGCCAATCGAACAAAAAAAGAATAAAAAATTGTGTGTGCGTGAATGACTGACATTTTTCTAATTTAAACTGATTGATTGTTCTAGGAACATAGCCAATCGAACCTTGGAAATGAGTAATGAACGCAAACAGTAAAAGAGTAAAAATTGTGTGTGCGTGAGTGACCGAAATCCTCCGTAAAATTTAATCGCACGGCCGCGAATTTATACTTCTTTTTGCATGCAAATTAATGCAAGGAGTGCTAAGCGCTACACTAGTGAACAAAATTAAACGCAAAGTTACGTTTTTAATATCTAAAAAAGCTTATTTGGAAGAGCAATTTTGGACCATTTAGCTTAAATTTTACAAAAATTTATAGATTGACCGACTGCAAAAGATCTAAGCTACGCTCTCTGAAAGTCTCTGAACTTTTAATTTGAAGCGCTCACCAGTTTATATTGGGTCTGAAAATGATAGTTTGTGAAGTTTGTAATAGTTTTTTAAACCGTGAGAAAATGAAAGACACAGCAGAGTTGAGGAAAATTGTCACATTTAGCAATGCAGTTTTCTCGTTTTATAAGATTTCACT